AGTGGTTTTGATTTGCATTTGTGTGAAGACTAATGATGCTGTATATTTTTCATGTGATAATTCTCTTCTATATTTTTTTTATTTATCTATGTCTGTTAAGATCCCTTGTCTTTTCTTTTTCTATTCAGGTTGTGCACTTGCCCTTGAAGTACATCTTACACAAGCAAGGTTCAAATTGCTGATTATGAGTTCTTTCAATACATTCTTCCAACTGTGCCTCATATTGCTATTTTCTTTCTTTTTTGAAAAAGTTGCATTGTGCATGTTCTCTGTACATGGTTCTATAGTATGAAAAGATTTTTTATATGATTTTATGTGGTGGTATTGTATTCCCCAAAATATTGTGCAACCTAATAAACTTATCTGGGGTCAGAGACAGAAAAGCCACAATGTTAAACATAGAGGATAGGCAGTGGTAGCACATGCCTTTAATCCCAGCACTTAGGAGGCAGAGCTAGGCAGAAATCTATGTGTTCAAGGATACAGCCAGGCATGGTGACACATGCCTTTAATCCCAGAAAGCTAGCCTTTAATCCCAGGGAGTGATGGTAGAAAGGAAAGATATATAAGGCATGAAGACCAGAAACTAGAAGCATTTGGCCTGGTTAAGCATTTGGCTGGTTGAGCTTTTAGGTTTTGAGCAGCACAGTTCAGCTGAGACCCATTCTGGGTGAGGACTCAGAGCCTCTAGTCTGAGAAAACAAGACCAGCTACGGATCCGGCAAGGTGAGGTAGCTGTGGCTTATTCTGGTTCTTTGATCTTCCAGTTCACCCCAATACCTGGCCCGGGTTTGATTTTATTAATAAGAACTTTTAAGATTCCTGCTACAATTATATAAGTTGAGCAAATTTTTCTCTTGCATCCAAATTCCCTTCTCTCACCTCTTCCCCTCCTGTAAGCCCTTTTACTTCCCAAGACAGTTTGCATCTACATTCGTGCCATACATACAGCCATGATTTTATGTATCTACATACAATTTAGGATACACAAGCATAAAAACAAGGACTATTTGTCTTTTAGAGATGACTTTAATTCACCTAATCTCTGGTTGCCTCCATCTCCTGCAAATGGCATTAGTTTATTCTCCTGTAAGGCTAAAAAAGAAAACCACTGCAGAGAGAGAGAGAGGAAGGCAGGAGAGAGAGAGAGAGAGAGAGAGAGAGAGAGAGAGAGAGAGGTGGGGAGGAGAGAGTGTGTATAGAGAGTCATTTTAAGGACTTGGCAATGCACTTGTAGAGATGCCAAATATGAAATCTGCCAACCAGGCCAGCCCAGCATGCTAGGAACAGAGGGAAAGGTTGGGGACTTGGCAGGTTTCTGTTATAGCACTGAGTCTTACTTTTAAGGTTTTAAATTGCATCTAGTGAAATAGATCAGTGGATAATAGTGCTTGCTGTAAAAGCAGGAGGGCATGAGTTCAAATCCCTAGGATACATGTGCCATATGAACCCATAATCCTGGCAGTAGAGGACAGAGACAGGCAAATCTCTAAAGCCTAGCTAAACCACCCAGCAAGTTTCAGGTTTGGCCAGTCCTGAAACATACATACAAGTAACACTATACAGACTATTCTAGGTATACATGTATACATGTGTGCTTGCAACAATTAATGAAGGAGAGTAGGTAGATTTGCAGGGAAGAAAGGGAAGGAGAGATGATATAATAGTATTGCAATTTCAAAAAACAAAAGAAGTGAATTTAAAAAAAACTGAAATAGAAATAAGATTGAGAGTGCTAGAGGAAGGTATCAGAGGTTCTCCTCTGGCCTCTGTATGCACACCCATGGCATGTACTCCTACACATATGTGCACAAACAATACACACAACAGCCCCACCCACAGCTTCTAAACCGATAGGGTAAAGCTCACACTATAATGAAGGTTAATCGATGTTACTCAAAACCTTAGCAATTTAAATGAAGTATAGTGACACACATGTGCTGTTCCGCACCCAGGAGACATAAGCAAGAGAGTCTTGAACTCAAGGCTGGTGTGTGTTATAAATGACAACAATGACTTAGTAATTGCCTAGTGATTTAAAAGCAAGTCATATTTTAGAATTAGATTTACAGAGGCATTTTCCCTGCTGATTGACAGATTAAGTCATGCATACATGATAGTTAAGCCATGACAGGTGGTAAGGTTACTCAGTGTCAGCAACTTCAGCAACAAACAGTTTTACAAGTAACTTTTATTAGAAAAATATTATTGTCATTCTACTACACCCTCTTTTGTTGGGTTATTTCTTCATTTTGGTTCAATAACATTCAGATATTTCTGTATCTTTGCATCATCCCATATTAACTCTTATTTAGACAATTGAAAATCTTCAGGGTTTGCATGAGCCTTGCTGAATAGAGGAGGGGTATTTACTGGGGTATAGACAACACCCTAGTGGCCATCCAGTGCTGAAGAGAAGGACATCACTGCCATAGCAACTATTAACTGCCAGTCATCCTTGAGGGGGTGTGGAGCCTCAGGGGTCTCTTTGCTATGGGTAATGGCAGGCCCAAGCTTGTTGCGGGACTTGTGCAGGTGGCCATCGATGCTGTGAGTTTATGAGTGCAACGGTCACATTATGGCAGAAAGATGTGATTTCATAGCATTCTTCCCCTACCTTCTAGCTCATGGTCTTCCTGCCTGCTCCCTCCCCCATAATATGCCCTGTACTTCGGAGGGGGTGTAAGAAATTGTAAAAGAATAAAAGTTTCAATAACACATGAAAGATAAAAAAAATAAGTAAGTATTAACACAGTGCTTTGAACGGTAAAAACACCATCTGGGAAAAGCATAGGCCTTATTTATAAGAAAGATCATTATAAAGTATTCACTAACCAGTGCAATTGAATGCAAGCTAAGCTGGTGAATGTTCTATACTTCAATGTAATGCTGAGATTCTGTCAAAATTTATGTACATGAAAGCACATATTGATTTCATAAAGCATTGAAATGTTTATGGTAATAGTTCTGAGGACTCTTTGACTTGATGCATGAGACAGTAGATCTTAGTAATGAGAAGCCACATTTCCTTAGGAAATATTTGTTCAGTTAAAGTTGAGAATTGTATTTACCATACAATGTGAGTTTTCACCACTGAACTTCTGGCTATTATTAACTTCTTAACTATGATGTCACTAAATTTAACTCCCTCAAGGTAGTTTGAAAGTTCTGAAGAGCTACCAAGAAGCCAAAACCTTTTATTAAAATTCTTTCTAGTTCTCCTCATTATTCCAAAAACTTAAGTGAAATAGATTTAATGGTCTAATGCTTAATTTTAGAGCAGAATACAGAATCATAATTTTCTACCTTAATGAAATAACAGCAACAATGGATAATATTTAACACAGTTTCTATGGACCAAGCATTGTGCTAAACATCTCAGTGCATAATTTATTCTATTTAACTCTCAATTATGATGTCATCATTGTATATCCTTAAAAGGAAAGAAATAAAACAGAAACTATGCTTCACCATAGCTTTTTCTGATCCTCTAGACATATTTTTGCATCTTATTGTTCATTATTGATAATAAATTTCAATTTCTCCGTTGTCGAAGTATGATGAACCCAGACCAGAAAAATCAGTGCCTCAGATCTGCTCCATGCTACCAGCCTAGACTTAAACTTCAATGTCAACAAAAATGTTTTAGCAATTTTCTGAGATTTCTCTCTGAATCACCTCCTTTAATCTCTAGTTTGATGCTATAGGAAGATAGATATCATATCAAATCATAAAAAGGCAACAGCCAGATACTAACAAAACTAAGGTCAGAGGAGAAAGCAAGTGTAGCACTATGCTGAGAAATGTCAGTCCAAATGGGCTGCCTGGGTAAAGAAAAATGTTCTCAATAAAGTCAGTGAGGCAACACAAATAAGGCAGACAGAAGGGAAAGAGAGAAATGCATTTAAATGTCTACCAGTAACTTGACATGTATAATACCATCTAATTATTCTGAGAAATATGAATAGAAATAAGAGTGGCTGTGTCTGGTGTGTGTGTGTGTGTGTGTGTGTGTGTGTGTGTGTGTGTGTGTGACATTTTTTCACTGTAGAAGTGGATGTAGACCATAATTGTTAATTTGTATGAGGTTACTCCCCATAAGTTATGGAATAAGACCTCGAATTCAGACTTACACTCGTAACTTCTTTTCTGATACTCCTCCACTCTTTCTGCTCTACTTATGCTCCTGAGTATGAGTACTCAATTTTTGTCTTACATATTTTATTAATATTTTAAGAATTTCCTGCATTGCGTTTTGATAGTATTTATTTCCCTCCTCCATTTCTACTTTTCCATACTCACCCAACATTATGTCCTTTAAAGGAACAAAAATTAAACCCATCATTTCTCATAACTACTGTTTATAGATTCTTGAGTGTGTGGCCATTCATTGGAGCTTGTTAGACTTACCAAGGACCACACTCTTAAGAAAACTAACTTTTCTTTTCCCAGAAGCTGTCAATTTCTAATACCTTCCTAGGGGGAGGTGGGACTTCATGCCACTTATCCTCTCTGTGCTAAGATTTTGTCTATCTTGAGTTTGTTCAGGTTGTATGTGCAATTGCCCTATTAAATTCCCCCAAACACTGCTTCCTTTGTGGTCAGCTACTACCTCTTTGTTCTAAGTATGAATTATAAGAATTGTGTATTCTCAATAGACATCATGGACAGATGAAATGATTTAAGGTGAATAAATGAACAAGGTCTATGAGGTCACTCAGTCCGAGTTATTATTAGAAAATTCATTCTCTGGTTCTTTCAAATACTGATTCCTTCAGGAGGCAGAAATATATTTCTGAGTTAGAAGAGCTACACTCCATCAGTTGAATTTGGATTCTGCTTTTCTGAGATAACACTTAAGTCTCCAGTGGAACGGCTTGTGGAGAGAAAGATCTTTTGTCAGCATATTCCTTTGTTGTAACCTTTGCTCCATCTTACACAGGATGGGAAGAAACAACTAATCATTGTGAGGCGCTTTACAAAGTACTATCTTTGGGACTCCAAGTTTGGATAAAGACCAAGAGGTTAAAAAAAAAAAGACAGGAGCAAAAGGAGAGCTAACTAAGGATCTGATGACAGCAGTTATTTCAGAATCTGGAGCACCTGTTTTAAATGGTCTGTACTTTGCATGTGAATGGTGTTCTGTCTGGGTGATGGGACCAGGGGTTTTCATGCCAAAGGAGACTGACTAAAGGTACACAGAGCACACTTAAATACTGAGAGCTGATTTCTATGTTAAATAGCTTCTTTGAAAATAAAGGAACATCATTCTATTTCTTTGTGGTAAATTTGTTATTATAGAATGCCCTCTAGGAAAGGGAAAGCAGAGGGGAGATAGGTAAGAATGGAAAGATGGGTGGAAAGGAGGAGGTTGGATCTTTAGAATGGACAACTTGCAGATTTCTAGTTGAGGCAATGATTACTGATGGACTGAAAAGCTCTGGTTGGTGCTTGGAAGTGGCTTGTGAAAGATTTACTTCTTGGAACTTGATGGACAACTTCTTGGGTAGCAGGTCTACAATATCCTTAGAAATAAAGCTAAGGAAACAGAAGTGAGAACCAAGACATATGTCATGCTACAAGCAGACCTCTGATCACACATTGATTAAGATTGGGTAGAAAGCATCTAGGAGGAGTTGAGGGTAGAGAAAATATAACCAAATATATTGTATTAAATTCTCAAAAGGCAAATTTAAAGAACTGTAAAAGTTTATGGTAATTGACCTCAACCAAAGGAACATTTAGAAACAGCAGACAACCCCATCATGAGACAGACCATGTACATGCATTCAGAGAGACCTCAAAATGCAGGATCACGTCAACCAGGACCTAAGAACACAGGCTGGCTGGCTGGCAGCTGCTTTGGGGGCCAGCAGAGACTTGGTAGACATCATATAACAGAAATCACATGGCCCACACGTTTTTGGATAAGGAGTCATTTTTGAACCCTAGGATATGCAGTGGGTTGGAAGGACTACCATAGAAGATTCCATAAATTAGGTAAGTGATTATCTCTTAGTTTAAAAGACTCAGGGCCAGAGATCAAGGTGTCTACAGCTCCTTTTTCTCAAGGATTTGTGGATCAGTTCTGCTCTATATCTTTTGACTTGGATTTTATTGACCATCTTTGTATTTCTTTTTCCAGGTTTCCCTTTATATGTGTCTTTCTCTGTGTAAAAATATTTCATTTTTAGAAATACACGATTATGTTGTATTAAAACCTGTCTACTGACCAACATTTCACCTAATCTATTTTATAAATAAATAATGTTGTGGTCTGAGATACCAGGAAAATATTTGGAAAAAAAACCTTAAAATTTGTTTAGATATTATTTGTTTTTTTTTTTTTTTTAGTGTTAACGAAGGGTCATTTAAAATTAAGAAAAGAAATGCTTTAGAATGTTGGTTAGATACTATTCACTAGTTTTAAATTACCTTTAACTTAATGATGAATTGGAGTAAATTTTGTCATAAAGAACATTGTAAATGTTTATCACTAGATGTGTTATGTGAGGAATACATAGTGGCATTCCTGGAGGACTTTGATACTTCATTACTCATGTCATTGAATTGGAAATGATTTTTCCCACTTGAATATTTGTCTGATGCATTTTATTCATTTAGTTAAGAGACACAAACCACTCGTTTCTTGTGTAGTGTGTGGCAGGGGCTGTTTTTATGATTAATAATCAGGCAATCCATATACAACTTCTCTGAGTTCCACCTGCCATCCTGCCATGTGTAGCAACAAGATGCTTGGTTATTAATGTTTATTTTCTGGGAACCAGGCAACGAAATCTCACAGTTCACAGAGCAATAACACTTATTTCCAATTATTAGCAAGGGAAAATCATGATGCTAATATGGAAAATGTCTGCATTCATCATTTTAATAAACACTGAAAGTCTGCTGAGACCCTGTAAATGACAAAGATATTACCCTTTCATATGGGGTCCTTTGTGTTGCAGAGGGGGGAGATGAAACACCAAGTTGAGGTTCCTGGAACATTGCCACGAATAAACTAATTCAGACCTGTGAGGGCCAGGAATACATAATTGCAACTAAGAGTTCACCAAAGCCATTGTCAATTTCATAACCTACCCAGGTCAAGAGTTCATTTTGCTAATCATGGAGAAAACTAAAACGAGAACTTTAACTCACGGGGTAGATACCCAGTTGCAAGAGGATGGAAGGGGCGGCGAGGGAAGAGTAGAACCTGCCTGTTGCACACAGCACAAAAGCAGAGTAGAAAGACTCTATTATCAATAGTTGACTGCATATTTCAGAAGAGCTAAATAAGAAATCAAAACATTATCAACGAAGTGAAGTGATACATGCTAAAGGAGGCTGTTATGTAAATAGCCCTGATTTGAACATCATGCCTTATAAACATGTGTGAAAAAAATCACACTGCACCCCCACAGATATGTGCAAATGTTATGTGTCAATTACATTTAAAATGTATGATATATCTGAATAAAATGTCTTTATTAAACCCCTCACTATACTTCGTATATGAAAATAAAATTGAACATAACAAAAAAATAAAACTAAGTCATTAATAAGTTAATTTCAAGAGAGGAATGTTCTGGCTGTTGGAGCTTTTCCTGGTCTTCAGTCTTCAACAGACACTGGGATGCCATCACCCCAGAAGTGTCTCTGCCTCTGTCCCCTCATCGGCCACAAAGTTCTGCTAATGGAGCAGAAATAAGTATAGTCCAGTGTAGGAGAAAATGGAGCTCTGTTCCTCTCTGAAGCTATTCCTGTCTAGGACATGAACTTACTCAGCTGTTTCAAGGTGAATGTACAGAAGAAACAAGTGGGAGGCATCCTGCTGAGGCCTCTGATTCCAACCTTCTGAAAACACAGAAGCATCTGGAAGAGCTCTCTCTTCTTGTTCTGTACCACATTTTTTCTACTCTCTCATCCATATATTCTTCCTTGTCCTCCCCCTTCCTGCTTTTCCTTCTCCCCCTCCCTCTCTCTACCTTCTTCTTCCCAGCTCTTCCCCATCCTCCTTGTTCTCCTCCCCCTCTTCCTTTTTCTCCTCTTCCTCCTCCTCCTTTTTCTTCTTCTCTCACTTTCCCTCTCCTTTCTTACTCCACCACTCTCTTTAAGTTCACCAATCTCACTGTGATAAATACAGGCAGACTAAACATGGACTTGCTCTCTGTGCTCACACATTTCCCCACAACTCCTTGCAATGACTTTTAAAGAGGGGAGTAGATGGTGACACTCAGTGTCAGGAAAAGGTCAGATTCCCAGAGTTCCAGGACAGGAAAAACTCTCAGACAGGCAAAGTTTCATTGTCTCCTCTAGGATAAGTAGAATACAGCTCATGATTCTTCCATGACTACTGATGAAGCATCTTGTTTCTGAACAGAGAAGTTGCAAACATATTTTCTAGATACAATTAACCTTCCCCCAGCTGCCCAACAAGAATGAAGGAATGCAAACGACTTGATAGTAACAGAATCATCAAGTTTTATTTCACTTGAGACACCTACAAGTCCTCTCTTCTTGTTCTGTGATCGGAATCCCTGGAAAGGCTACTGTAGATCAGGATTTGTTTGTGTCTCAGTTCTGTACGCAGAATACTATTCATCTGATTTTGCACCCAAAAGCTCTTTATATTCTGGGTCCCATTTTCAGCTGTCACAATGTGTCAAAATCGCTATTCTTCTCTCTGGTATTTATGGCTAAAGGAGTCATTACTTGTCATCAGGGGGCCATCTGCACAGTGTCATTGGGTACCGACACACAGCCACTGTTTAAGCTCTGAGATAGTACATTTCTCAGAATAATGCCAGTACATCCATCTTCCACATTCCTCAAACAAGAAGATTGTTAATAACCTTTAGACCTGCACAGCCACGGGAACAGAGGGTATACCAGGGTGGTATAGGGAACTGCCCTTTACAACAGAATCATGATGTTACAAACAGAAATTAGATACATTTTTTTCAGATTTTGACTTTATATTTTATTGTATAGGACAGACAAATCTTGAGCAGGTGTGGTTAGGGAGTCAGGCCCAGAGTGCTATCTCTGCATTGTGAGGATTCCTTTATGGGAGCTGCAGGCTACATGCTGACCCTGTGACATGACAGAGCGATGGCAGTGATTTCCAACCACTGAGGAATATCAGAATCCTACGTGCAGCAGTTACAGTAAGTGGAAATTTCCCACTTTGTTGAGTTCTGTATTTATTATTTACTTACTCACATTTTGGTTTATTTTATCATCTAAATTACCCATTGTTAATTCTGCTGCATATTCTGTAGTAATACCACTATTGACCCAAACTTTTTTCCAACTCAGATGCTACTGGCTTCTAAAATCATTTTAAGTTAGAGTATTGAACTTCAAATCATTCACTTGTCTAAGAAGCAGTTTGTAAGTACAAGTAATATGGACAGATGGACAGATAATTGGTTTCAAGTTGGTGTTTCTTAATCCATCAATACAGGCATTTTCTTTAAAGCATGGAAGATGAAGAAAGAAGTATTTGTGTTTCTTTCTCTTCATTCTTTTTGCACACGCTCCTTAATTCTGCCACCTATTCTCTTACTAACGATAGAGATGCTAATGACTAATAGTGAATGGGATGTGGTCTTGGATCTGAGAAGAATGAAGAGTGCTTAGAGTGGCTGGGAGTCATGATGCACACACCCTCATGCTTGTACTGGGCTCCAGACACCCATGAGTGATAGCAGCTGGTTAGCATGCTTTAAAAGAAGTCAGAAGTCCATACCTCATGTGTACTCTTTTTCACTCTTAGGTATTGGTATATAATTTGGAGTTTGATAGAAAGCCCATGGGAACTATATGTAAATGAAATAGACTGTGTGGGCTGGATTTTATAGAAGATTTTATTGTGCTCTTATTCTCTCATCATGTTCAAGGGAAGAATATGTAAGAATGAAAAGGGTACGAGTACAGGCCAGAGAAGGTAGTCACAATGTTGGGCCATGATGGACAAATGTGCTGACTTGATTTATTTGGTTCACACTGAGCTTGCCACAGGTGATGGAAAACTTACTCCTGGCTGTGACAGGATGTTTGCTTTCAGAAGGATTTTAGAAAGTGTTGATTTGTAAACAAAATCCGGTTCCTAGTAACAAACCAACTAAGACTTTTACCCAAGCTACAAGGAGCCCAGAGAAAGATATTTAAAGATTTAGAAGATTAGAAGATAAACTTTAAAAAAAATAGTTGTTGGGTGCCTGTGAAGTTCCTTGTCATACAAATCATGCAGTAAGACTTATACACCAATTACAATTAAACATACATTTACAGAAAAGGCACTGATAATTTCAGTATCTGTCACTTCACCCTATTATATTTTCATCGAGTGGATTTATAATTCAGTGACGGAAGCCCTGACATTGTCCTTTTTAAACCACTGATGTCACATCTTTGGCCTTGGGTGGGTTACATCATCATATTCCTTCTGAATTGCTAGGAAACATGGTTATATTAAAAACTCCCAATGACTCTATCAAACATTTTATTACATTATGTGTTTTTTTTTTGTGGAATTAACTAGAGGAGAAGAGAAGAAAAGGAATGGCAGAAACACACAGCAAAGTAATGACCAAAATGAAGTTGAGCTCCAGAGGGAAACGGTACCACAAAGGTGTCTGGAGTGAGATGTGGGGACTTCATGGAATGAGAACAATTCAGAACCTAGATGAGTCGGAGTCAAGTATTGAAGCTTGGGGCTCAAAGCTTCGTCTTTCCTGATCTTTCCAATGCTCTAGAAAGATGAATCAGGAACAACAGCTTCCTAGCAGGAGAGTCATGGGTGGCAGTTCCCAGTCCACAAGCAGGTCCAGAGGGCTGCTTGCACTAAACACATCATCGAACTGATGAACTTCAAGTAACTTTTACCTGGACGTACTGAAAGTGTGATGGTGTTCTGCAACCTGCCAAGAAGTCCAGTCAATATAGGTAGCAACCCGGTAAGTAATTCTTCCAGAGAATCATGATGCTTACTGGGAAGAGCAGTAGTTATCTGCAGGCATACACAAAGGAGTCCTGGCCAGGACAGGTTTTTAAAGGCAGAAAATAAGAAATAGTTAATTTGTCTTAGATTGAAACCAAAGAACTAGGGTAAGTTCATTGGTGAAGGTGCTATGCAGGGTGAGTGTTTTGTCTAAAACACCTTTGCTGCATTGTTGCGAGATCCAAAATGGTAAAGAATGGAACTCCTTGCATGTATACAGATGTGATGCATACAAATCCTGTGGTATATAGAGAAGTAATCACTCATCTCTGCTGTGGCTGCTTAAAAGATTTTAAGACAGTGCTTACCTCAGAGAGGCTTGAGTGAGCCCTTTCCCACTTCTCGTTTTGTCTGAGAAGAATCATTTTATTTTTGTATCGGCAACTTTCACTGCCTCTAAACTTCAGGGCTCACAGCCATTTGCCACCGGTTCCCCCATAAATAACATCCCCAGCTTGAAGACTGGGTATGATGTGGAGAGGGACACCTGCCTGGGAGGAACATCATCTTAGGCTTGAAGTACCAGCTGTGATCAAGTGAGATGAAGCTAAAAACTGAGGCATTCACAAAAACAAACAGTGACATTGAAAGGAGCTATTTCTATCATCTCTGATGCTTTTGTATTTCCCTTTACACATTTTATAAAGGAAGAATATTATTTCCATGCTTCCTGCAGAAAAACATGCTGAAAACCCAACTCTTGTCTGCAGAGGTGACCAATCCCTCAGGTATCAAATACATAGGTACATCAGTAGGCTTAGAGGTGAGGATGGAGGCATCTTATTATCATGACCTTGTGGTATTTGTTGTTATTTTGAACATTGGAAGTTTAGGGTTTTTACTATTATTTTTATTTTAAGTTAACATTCATACTTAGATGCATTCTTACTTGCGATGTATTATCCCAATACTGATGACTCACAAAAGTATCCTGTTTAATATTCGCAAACTCTGAATCTGCCTCTGGTAAGAGAGGTAAAACGAAGCAGGGCCAGATAGACTGAGCTTGGATAAGCTCTGAAACCATCCATCAGTTCGAAATGATGTTTAGGGATATGAATGGGTTGGGTAAACGCTAGAAGAATTTGAACTGAGAAGAGTGTATCCATCAACAGGTTAAATCAAAATTAAATCCACAATGCTATCCCTCCAGGTGCCATTGACTCTTGTACACTTAATGCCCTTTCTGCTTTTTGGCTCTACACGGCCCTATAATGGCCCTCATATTGTTTTGATTTTATTTATTCTAAATAATCATTTTTCTACACGTTTGTAGAAAGTGGTGCATAAGAAACACAACATTATTGGGTAGGGTGAGAACCAATGAATTGATATTGGAGCCATCTTTGAAATGGCTTCATGATGGTGCAACAGCCGCCCTCTTATCCAGTGACCAATTGGGGACAATGACTTTGTCATCCCTAAGAATAATTCTCCTCCCCAATCAAGAACACACATAAGTCATAGACAGAGAAAATAAAGGGGATTTCCTGACCATAATGGCAGAGGCACTAATTAAATACAGTCATAGCATTCGTAACATAAATGTATTTCATTGACTCAGACATATAAAAAATGAGTTCTCCCTTAAACGTAAGATAAAAGGAGTTAGTTAACTGCAATTATAAAGAAAATTACTGAGGTCCAGACATGTAGATGAGGGTGTCCAAATGCAGAAACAATGATCCTGTATGAAGCCACACCCATTGCTGAGAGTATATAAAGGTCCCAGAAAAGGAGTGATTTTCAAATTCAGTCTTCTCTTACATTCAGCTCAACTTACACCTGCCATCAACATGTCCTACAGCTGCTATTCTGGAAACTTCTCCTCCCGTTCCTGTGGAGATCACCTGAACTATCCTCACTCCTCCTGTGGCTCTTCCTATCCCCGGCACCTGGTTCAGAGCACTAGCTTCTTCTCTCCCAGAACCTGCCATCTGGGCTCCTCTCTCCACAGCGGATGTCGTCAGAACTGCTTCCAGCCCATCAGATGCCAGACTTCTCATGTGGTGCACAGTTCCTGCCAGCGGCCTTGCTATCGCCCACAGGTCTCCAGCTTCTGCAGCCCCTGTAGGACCACATACGCTGGCTCTCAGGGCTTTGGGTCCAGCAGCTGCCACTCTCTGGGCTATGGGTCTAGAAGCTCTTACTCACTGAGCTGTGGATCCAGTGGCTTTAGACCCCAGGGTTTCTCTTCACTGGGCTGTGGATCTGGATTCTGCCACCCATCCTATGTGCCCTATAGAACCTGCCAGTCTTCTTGTTACAGACCAAGCTGTGGTACTGGATCTAGATTCTACTGATCTTCTTTCTAATTTCCAATCTTTCTGACCACTGTCACCAGTCCTGGATTCTTGGCTGTTGTAATCTTCCTTCAACTGGGAAGAATTATCTTCTCATTCCCTGATTGCCAATTCCTCACTTTCTCTCTGACCCCAGCTATTGGCTGATGTGTGTCCTTTGAGAACTCTGTAATTAATCTATTAACTCAGAAATAAAGTGTGCATTGCAAATGAAATTTATAGTGTTGAAATTCTTTCTAAATTTATGAATACTAGAAATTTTGGTTAATGAATATATTGATTTGATATCTAGCCATGCCTGCTTTTGTGAGTTGTTTTCTGTATGCTTGCTTTTGAGGTTGTGAAACAGTGAATTGATGAGCATTAAATGGACAGTATGCACAGGAATACAGAGACTGAAGTTCCACTAAGCGGTGAATTAGATAAAAGTCTTATGTGCCTCAGATAATTTTCTCCCTTAAGAACATAAAGCAAAATCATACTCTTTGAAAGCATAGATTTTTTTGTTAATTAAATCTCAGATGTAGAAAAATGATTTCCATCAGTAGTGGGTTCTCAAGTCTATGCCAACTGGTCTAACTAAGTTCTATTAAGAAGGCAGAAGTCTTGAAACCTGGGGCTTATTCAGGGACACTTGGCTCAGTCTGGGAGGAGGGGACTGGACCTGCCTGGATTGAGTCTACCAGATAGATCTCAGTCCTCAGGGGAGGCTTTGCCCTGGAGGAGGTGGGAACGGGGGGTGTTCTGGGGGGAAGGGGAGGGGGCAGGAGAGGGGAGAACAAGGGAATCTGTGGCTGATATGTAGAACTGAATGGTATTGTAAAATAAAATAAAAGGGAAAAAAGAAGGCAGAAGTCAAAATGTATTTGATTTTATGACTATGGGTTCCTTTGTGCACTGACAATAAATGTTTTGATTTGAATCTGAAATGTCTCCCATGGGCTCATGTCTTGAATGCCAGTTTAACAGGTGATAATCTATTTTAGGAGGCTGTGTAAACTTAATTAAGGGGGGCCTACCTCAAAGCTATGCCTTTGAAGGTAATAAGTCAGCAATAGTGTCAGCCCTGCTGTCTGTATTTCCTTGTCTTCTACGATGTGAATCCTCACCATCTCATATTCCTAATGCCACAGGTAGACCCACTCTCCTGTGCTTCCCTTCGATGCTGGATCTGCAACCCTATGAAATGGTGAGTCTGTGTAAATCTTTCCCATACAATGTTCTGCCAGTTATCGGGACATGACAACACTAAAATAAATACAGAAGAAATGAAAATTACTGCATCAATTATGGAAAGCGGTATAGATTCTCCAAAATGTTAGAGCTACCAAATGATCTAGCAATTCTATGCTTAGTTGTATAGCTAAAGAGGATTCAATCAGTATGCTTGAAAGACATAAACACAATACTGCTTACAGTACCTCAGGAGTAAAAGAATATACTTAAAAAGGACTGTAGAAAATGTGGTACATATCCACAGTCGAATTTTAGCCATTAAAATGATGAGATGCTATCCTTGAGACAACATGGATAAAAGTGGAGAACAATATGTTAAAGGATATAAGCCAGACTCCAAAAAGCAAGTCCTGAATAATGTCACCCACATGTGCAATCTGAAAAGTTTGCTCTCACAGACACTGAATGTAAAGTGGTGATTCCCAGAGACTGTAGAGGAAAAGGTTGGGGTGGGGAGCCAGATAGGAAAAGGTTAGCCAGTGAGGAGTTAATTTACAATTTGATAATTATGAAAGTCTCATATGTAGACAGTTGTTAGTTACCCCAAGACATGAGTGTCACTATGGCACAATTGGTTATATCTTGCATGTTGGTAATTTTGTGTTCATAAACTGTACCGCTGAATAGGATTCTTGCTTGCTTTTCTCCATTGGCTGATAGACCTTTGGATACTATGAGAGGCAGTCCTCAGTGAGAAGGCTTCCAGGTCAGTTCCAACTCAATTCCTCTAAATCTTGTGTCTGAAACGTGAAGTGTCATAAGCAATAGTGCCTCCCCTTCTTAAGGAAGATGACCAAAGGCAATGGCAATAGCTTGCTTCACAGGAGTGTTCTCTTGTACTTCTTTAATAACTAGAAGGGAGGTTTACTTTGCCTGGCCCTGGGGAGTTGGTTAGTCTAGGGCTCTGCGAGAGAGCACTACTAACCCAAGTGTTGTAACTTCATTTAAAGTATTTATATATGTATGTATATATATACACACACTATATATTATACATTTATTTTTTAATGTAAAGCCTGTACAAAAATAGGGAATTCATGCCTGGGACTGTAAACCTAATCAATTGATCATGGCTGATGATGAAGTCATTGACCCTAGAAGAGAACTTTCTATTGTCACTTTCCTAAACCACTATAATTCCCAACTGCATTCTAAAGATTTATACTTATATAGACAAGTAAGTGTAGCTCTCTCCCTGCATGATCAAAGAAGTTTATTTTCAGCAAACAAAGACCACCACAGAAGTTGACAACTGGTCAAAATGCCAAGAGCAACTGACTGGGAAGCCCACCCCAAATTGAAGCATCTACAATATAACCTCTATGACTAAGGCCTAGGGGAACATCACAGATTTCATGTAACAGTCAAAATACATTTAATTTTTTTTTTTTTTTTTTTTTTTTTTGTTTTTCCGAGACAGGGTTTCTCTGTGTAGCTTTGCGCCTTTCCTGGAACTCACTTGGTAGCCCAGGCTGGCCTCGAACTCACAGAGATCCGCCTGCCTCTGCCTCCCGAGTGCTGGGATTAAAGGCGTGCGCCACCACCGCCCGGCTAAAATACATTTAATTTAAAAGCATACAAAGAAGCCACTTCCACCATTTGCCGCCACCAAGATGGAATTAGAGTGTATTTTATTAAATAAAATGACCAGACTTGGAAAGATACTCTATGTACTTCCATGTGGAATCTGAAAATGCTGATGACATAGAGTCAGAGAGCCAGAAGGTGACAACCACGAAGGAGAGGAAGAACACAAGGAAATGGAAGATGGCCTACAATCTGATAAACTAGAAGATTTTCTTTTAATGGTGCATTTCACTGAATGATAACCAAATTTAATACATAGTATATTGTTAAATTGTAAAATTACACTGAGTGTCCTCTTTGGATTTCATTTAAATTATTACTTAGATGAAGTTGAAGATAATGTCATTTATATCATTAGAGGTGAGCATTTCATATGCATTTGAGTAAAAAAGTACTTTTTCATGGTAATATTGTCTAATTTATGTGCCAAGAAATTCCTGAAACAGATGTGAAGATAGATAGCTTAAGATAAGGTGCCTATAACTGATAAAATAGATGATTCATGCAAGTTCCCATAAATGCCCCCACCATTATTCCTTTATTTTATATAGCTGTCTTAGTCACCGTTCCATTGCCGTGAAGAGACACTATGACCAAAGCAACTCTCATTAAAGAAAAGGAAGCATTTAATGAGGTGCTTGCTTACAGTTTCAGGGGGTTAGTTTATTATCATCATGGCAGGCAGACTGTCATCCAGGCAAGCAGGCATGGTGCTTGAGAAGTAGCTGAGAGTTTTACATCCAGATCCATACATAGAATGCAGAGAGAGAGAGAGAGAGACACAGACAGACAGACAGACAGACAGACAGACAGACAGACAGACAGACTGGGCCTAGAGTGGGCTTTTGAAACCTCAAAGTCTTCCAGTTACATACCTCCTCCAACAAGGACACACTTCCTTAATCAATCCAAACAGTTCCACTTAGGACTAAGCACGCAAATATAAGAGTCTATGGTTGAGGGAGGGGTGGTTCTTCTCATCCAGTCTAACACAAGAGCCCTAGAGAAAAACAAAAATCTTAATAAGAGGCACTATAAAATGACAAGAATATCTACCTTGCATTAAGACTCAAAATAACAAAACAAAGTAAAATCCAAATATTAAAAATTTGTGCATGCTGACTCACACCTGTGTTCCCAAAACTTAGGAAGCTGAGGCAAGAGAATTGCAGTGAAATCAATACCAGCCTGGCTGCACAGTGAATTTTAGGACAGCTCTGGGCAGTGAGATGCCTTATCAAAAAACAGAAACAGCAACAAAAAAAGCAAAAGTAAAAGAAATACTATGTTATTTGAATTATCCAGAAAACCTCCAAATCACTGTATGTCTTCCCTCACTTTATCCATTTCTTTCTTTGAGTACCATCATCCCTATTCAAATTGGTAACCAATTGACCTTGTTTCAAGTCAAAAGTCTTTAGTCATTTTGCCTTTAAATAGTCTTTGTTTATAAGTGTGACCCATCATGTTTCCCATTCAATTTATTTTATCTGTTTTCCCATTAAACTGCATTCTAGAAAGAATATAAAACATGTTTTAGAAATGGAAAATCATTGTTGGTAAATTGAATATTTTTATTCAACTCAAATAAAAGTGATGGCATCATTGCAGTCTTCACTGTAGGCAAAAACCAACCTTTTGTCACAATATAGATGAATATACAGTCAGGTTTCACCAGGGAAATGACAGGGACATTTCTTTTCATGACTGGGTACCATTAAAGCCATAGAGTACCAACAGTTCTGACATGGAAGCATCTAGTTTGATCAGCGCTAAAACAATACAGTAAACTGGCCTGTAAATAAAAAGTGAAGAATGATATCCATCTGCTCTTTCAGAAAATGTATTGAGGGACACATTTATAAATGAAAAATTGCACGTCATCCATGATGGCATATACCTTAAACCCAGCTTTCAAATGCAGAGGCAGGAGGATATTGATTTATAATAAATTTTGTGGGGTATGGTCTGAAAGGAAAGAAGGAAGGGAGGGAGGGAAGGGAGGAGGGAGGGAGGAAGGGAGAGAGAGAGAGAAAGAGAGAGAGAGAGAGAGAGAGAGAGAGAGAGAGAGAGAGAGAGAGACTCCTAAATAATGGCTAAGAACATAAATGATTCCTAATCCAGAAGAAGTCATTAAAATCAGAATCTTAGTTATATCCAGCTGAGCTCACACCTGCTCTCAAGGTGGCATACAAATGCTAATCTGAAGACTTCTCATCCCCCACCATTAGATACTGGCTAACTCCCTCAGTTTCTTCCAGTGGCTCTCTGCCCCAGCAACCTGGTCTACAGCACTAGCAGCTCCTCAGACATGACTAAGATAACACCATCCCATTCTGATCCCATTGTGTGTTTGCTTAGAAAGTTCTCAGCCCCCTAGCTCCTTCCCCCA